AGGAGCTGAAGTGCAACGACTCCAAGTCGACCCGCAATTCCTCCAGGGCGTCCGTCTCGAACCCCAAGGAGGCCCCGGCGCGCAAGCGCAAGTCCTGCGGTGAAGATCTCCCGAGCAGATCCAAGTCATCTCGTCGTGCCGGTGCCGCTTCGAGAACGGCATCGCAAGTGAGTCTCGGCCTCGTTGGTTCCGATGCGTCGGATGGAGCGAGATTGAAAGGAAGATTTTCTTCTGCTGTTTCTTTACTGTTGGCATTCTCCCAATGGTCAGATGTTTTATACTCTCCCCTATACTGAATATTTTACTTGTGATGTTAGATTTAATTTGCATTTACCACCTTCAGTCTTGCTCTCACGTCATCTACATGGAATTGGCTATTTCCATCATTCCAGCTGAAGACTATGAAGCTCTTGGTAGGCTAGTAAGTGAGGAAATACATATAAAAAGTGATGTGCAATGCATTGGAGTCTGTTCAAAACTTATTTGGTGAACCTCACAAATCTGCTCGACATTGAACGGCAGACAAGTATTGACTGTTTTAGTAATCTTGTTCAAGGTATAGATTGGTCACAGCCTGAGAGTTTGCACCACAATTACCATGCATTTTTAGGTGATGCAATTTTCTTGTTTCCCATGCATAGGTCCCCGCCGAGTGCCAGTCCTCGCCCATCCCATCCGTGTCTGCTGTCCTCTTTCTTCCATCTAGTCCGAGTGCCAGTGAAGAGAAGGAAGAATTGGCTGTGAAGGAGGATATGGGAGAGGATTCCAGTGAAAATGGAGGACCTGAACACTTGGTCAGCAGTTCATTTGTGATTCCAATCCTTTATTTTTCTGGGAACGAAATATTAAATTGTTTATCTTTTTGCCTCATTTTTGTAGACCTTTTGAATTTTCTTCTATTTATCTATCATTATAATCTCTTTTCTCTTCATAGTTATTTTGTTGTTTTTTTTTTTTTCCCTGTTTTTATATTTCACATTTCCGTATGAAACTAAGCAAATGACGTGAACCCAATGTGTCTGCTGTGAGAAGGGAGTGCAAGAGGAATGGGAGGAGGAGTTGCAGGGCTCCATTGACCTGGAGGGCGAGGGGGCCACCGAGGACAACCCGTTCATGCCGCAGAACATCCCGCCCGAAATACTCGATCCTTCGGTGAGGCGACAGGATTTTCTCTCCCGGATCCATGGAGTCCGTGGATTCGTGAAGTCGACTATATAGTCGGCATTCAGGGATTGGTGTAGAAAATTGAGAATCATGTGGAAGGGTCCTAGTGAGTCACTAGGAAGAGATTGGAGAAGTATGAAATATATGCCTCTCAGAATGATTTACAATGGTTTTAGGACCAGTGTCTGTAAAATAGCTTTTTAATGATTATAATTTTGCATGTAAATGATGAGTCTTTGTATATCTCAATCCAAAATAATAGGTGCAAAATTGGGTGTATATTTGTTGACCAAGGTACCTGTTTTACTAATATCACTACCATTGCTTGTATCAGTCAATCAAGTTCGAGTTGTATGCACATGGTCACTGAAATTTGGAAGGCATTTATATTTCACTGCTATGGAGCTTATGCATTTCGTGATGTAATTACCTCTGGTCTTACATGCTGCAGTTCATAAAATTCATGCATCGTGATACGAATCTCATCGCAGACGGTAAGGCCCGACACCGACTACGTGTGGAGCGGGTACACGAGGAACAGGATGAAGGTGTGGTTCTGTGGCGCCTGCGGGTACGTGAACCCCGAGAAGGCCAAGCTTGCGAGGCACGCCCTCATCCACTCGGGGGAGAGGCCGTACGCCTGCACCGACTGCAGCAAGAGCTTCAGCCGGCGGGACAACCTCATGAAGCACCGGGCGGCGCTGCATTCGAACCCGCAGCAGTGACGGCGTTTTGCGGCGACCGCGCGGTATGGGAGTTTAAAATCTCCTGGCCGAACCTGTTTCTCTGGTCTCGCTGGAGGTATTTTCACGAAATGGGCGACGAGGGGACGCGTGTTCCCTGCGGAGTCGGGGGATTTCCTTGCCGTTCGTCGTGCCGAAATGAACCAATCAATTAACCAATTATTTGAAATTTATTAGGATTCAATGTGAGACTCCATATCTTGCTTGGCCTTTTGGAGTAATAGATATTTTTTCACTGTTCTACTTTTGGATGGATTGCTGGGGAGAGTCATCAGGTTCTGCAAGTTTTCTCATCACTGTAGAAACCGGAACGCCCAAGTTCGGTGCGAAATTCGGATGAAGCGTCTGAAATCATTTGCAAGTTGGGCTGATTTGTTTAATGAATAGGCAAATGAACATTTGATGAAAATATCTCCAGTGACTGCAGAGATGTTGATGGATCTTGCCATTAATTTATTTTTGCATATGATTTTGTACCCATGCCAATTTCTTTACATATATGTAAACTCTTTCGCTGGCATTGCTACGTACGTACAATAAAACGAGTCATGGAGATTCCATCGTTCCTCTAATCGAAGGGCCGAAAAGAAAACCCGGTCTGTCGGTGAAAACTCCTGCAATTAGCATAATTACCGGATAAACATCTTTTCAGGAATTCCATTATTGGATTTGATTCAGTTGCTTCTTAATTCCCATGAATTGCTGTTTTTTATTCAGTTGGTTCTTGTTTGTCCTTTAACATTAATCAGATGTGGGACTTCTCCTCATGTAAAGACCTGTACATTGTCATGCAAATCCACACTTTGAACCGGATTTTATTTGAGGTTTTTAATTTTTGCCATTTTAACTTTGCAAAATTGTGGGTTTTTAAAAGTCTCAGGAGTTACTTTTGCCTCTCAATGGAAAAAGTTTACTGGTTCCAAAGGCAGTCTATTCCTGGATTACGTTCATCTTTTCTCCAAACTTCGGCCCCGATGGGAACCAAGGACACGAAACGGGCATCGAAAGCATTTATTTCGCCACGAGGCGATACGGAGTCGGACGATCGTCGTCCTGCGATGTGCCGATCCGCCCCCCAAGCCTTGCCCCGCGGCAAGGTCGAGGAAATCTCGGTCTTGGGGCGTGCGCTCTTCTGCCGTGCCGCGTTTTTATTTCCGAGCTTCTGGAATCTTCTTCGGTATTTTTCTCAGTCTCTAACCTCGTGACTCCAGTCTTGGCAAAAATTTGGGGTCTCTAAGCATGTGGTTCCATATCCGAGGGTCAACCGTAGAATCACTACGCGTGGAAACCGATACGACTTCGCGTTCCTCGAATCCTCATAAATTCACCTTGCCCTAGTTATTGCAAGGTGAGGGAATTGGAGAATTTTGTTCTCTGATTTTCACCTCTCCATATTCCTTCATCAATTTGTTCGTAGGCAACTATAGAGCATAATTTGCAATAATAATCCAAAGTTCTGATTGATATTCAGGAGATGGTATTGTTTTTTTCCTTTTGCCAAGTGAATCTGCCAGCTGTATAGCTTAATCAATAATAATGTGTAATGATAGTTAAGGGAAGGAAGCGAGGTTGCCTGATGAGTTTGTCTTGATGGTTTTGCTTGTCTCCAAGCCCAGATATCCAGATGGCCCAAATATCCACTGGCAGTACTGAACGACTGAATGAGTTAAAAGTTTTCCTTGACTGCACCATTATAAGGTACCTTGGTTTATTATACTATGCTCTTTTGTGCTAGTTAATATGATCAGGTTGCAAGGGACAGCAGCTGTTTGGTGGTGAACTGCCTCTTAGAAATCATGGTGTGTCAACGTAAACTGGTAGAGGTCTTTGAAAAGTGTAGGGCTTTTTTTCCTTATTGGTGGATCTGTTGTTGCTTCAAAGGCTAAATAGTGGAAGATGCAGTCACTGCAGTGTACTGAGAGAGGTAAAGTAGATACCTGCCTTATACTAATGAATGT